CCCCCCCCCGCCCCCCAAGTTGGCGATGGGTGCTGACCTGGGCGCCTTCACTCCCACCCAAGGGCATGAATGACTGGAGAGGCCCACACCAAGCCTACCTTCCACCCTGCCTCGTATCTTTGCATGTTGCCTGAGCGCCCAGCCTGGCCCTTATCAGGACGGGTTAAGCTAGGACCCCTACCCAACTTGCTCACAGCCTATAGGAGCCTTAAAATCACCCAGGGGTATTTCACACATCTGGAGGCACGCCCGAAGAGCACAGAGGCCCCAGGGGCACCTCGCAGCCTCCCGGGAGTGAAGACAGCCACTGAGCACACAGACAAACAGCACTTCATCACCACCTCTCTGCACGTCCAGGGTCATTCTGCACAGGGGTATCTGGAGGCCAAGACAGCCAGGCGGAAGGCTCGTGTGTGGCCTTGGGGTTGCGGGAAAGAGCTGCCTCTCTGTGTAAACAGCCTGGGGACGGAGGTCACTGGAAAAAGCCCTGAGGTGGAAGATGTGAGGGAACCAGGAACTGTTCTGGAACTTGGTCACAGGGCTTCCGAGAAGTGGCTGGTCTCTTCGCAGAGTAGCAGGGCTCAGAGCCACCCGCTTTTCACCTGTTTGACCTGATCAGAGGAGTGGGCTGGAGTAAGGGAGAAATGAACAGAAGCCCAAGCACTGGTAAACAGAAACGCTCACGTGTTAGCGTTACAGATCAAGCCGCTGTGATCACATCAGGCACCTCAGGCAATAAGGGGTCAGTATGCGCTAGGAATAATGGTTGTGGACGGGAGAGTGGTGACGGTGATGGTGTTGATGATGACAATGGTACAAACTGAAGAAACGAGGGTGGGAGCACCTCAAGGCCGTGGACCGGTTTGTGCCCCTTCGCCATCCTCCCTCCATCAATGTTTCATTTGTTTATGGCACACCCGTTCTAAAGCGGGCGCTTGGCTAGGCACTCCTGTCCCCAGACCCTGCAAACAGTGGTCTAGTATAGCACTGTTAAGCTCCTCCGTGGGAGGCCTGGGCGGGGGTGGGGTTGGGACAGATCTTGGGAAGGATGGAGAAGGCGAGTGCCGGTGGAAAGCCCGGCACAAAGGTGCAGAAGGGGGAAAGGCCTGGGGCTGGGCTGGGAGTGGTCTGGTGATGGAGCCACAGGGGTGAGGAGAGAGGAGGGCAGAGCTGGAGACGGCTAGGAGGTTTGTGCGGGCAAAAGTCCTGGGTTGGAGGTGGGTGCCACAGATATGGGGTGATGGGGGGCACGTTTGGGAGGCTGAGCCTGGCCAGCAGCCTGTGGCTTCACCCACCCTCGTGGCCTCTCCCTCCCGCCTGGGCCCCCCGCACCTGCCCGGGGCCCACAGCCGTAGGCGCGCTGAACTGGCCAGAAGGCCTCGGGGCTGAGGGCCCAGGACCCACGGCCTGGCCACAGAGCCTGGGCTGGGCCTCCCCCCGACCACCCGTCCGCTGCCAGGCCAGGAGCAGAGCAGCAGCGGCGGGATGTGCTTAAGACTGGAATCACATCAGTCACACCCATCTCTGGCCCGGAGTCTCTTCCACCACAAATGCGAGGAAAGCAAACTGTGCTTCCATGACGCCCAAGGCTCCTTCGCAGCCGCCTGCATGGCCGTGCCAGAGAGGAGGCAAAGGACCAGGCCCTATTCTCTCTGAGACCCTCCTGACAGCCCTGTCATGGCGAGGCGTGCCTGTGAGTGTGTGTCTGTGTGTGTGTGCACCTGTGTGCACACGTGGGGTGCAGCAGGCAGGCAAAACTCTGGGCCCTCAGCGACCCTCAGGGTCGTCACCAGACCCGCCCCCCCTGGACAGGGTGAGGACAGGTGGCCCCCAAGGGTGGGGAGGTCTGTGCTGCCCAGCAAGGCCAGCCGTAGCCCCTGAACGGGCCTCTTAGGGCTGGAACATCATTCAAGCCTCCACCTCACTGGCCAGGTCACACGTGATTCTCCCCACCCTGCGTTTTCCAGCACGGAGAAGGTCCCCGACATTTGGTAAGTTCTTACCAGGGGGAGGGCTGAGTTAGTCCCTGCCCCCAGCCTGGAAGGTGGACATGGTCCTGCAGGTACGGGCAGGGGACAGAACAGAGCTGGATTTAATGCAGGGAGCGTTTTTGCTCTGACGTGATCTAGGAAGTTCCCTGCTTGCCGAGGTCAAACACTTGCAGTCGTCATGCGTCCCTGCTCCCCAGGCGTCTGCTCAGTATCTGTGCTTACCCGATGCCGTTCGCCTGTATGGACTAGAGAGAGTCCTGTGTGTGATTTCCTGTCCCCTGGCTGGGGCGGAGGGTCACGCGTTACTCCTTCGGGGCCTGTCTGCAGCTCACTGTGGGGCGTGGATGTCCGAGCCCAGGGCGCCTAGAGTTCTTCTGTCTCCCTGGAGGAGATGTGGAGGCCAGGAGTGCACGCACGGCCAGCCGGGGGCTGCCCCGCCTTGCTCACCCCACCACACATGCTGCAGGTGGGGCAGCAGCTGGGGCTGGGCTCTGGCTTCGTGCGGGGCCATCGTGGGGTGACCCACAGCACTGCTCCAAACAGAACCCTCCTGTCTGCCCACCGGTCCGGGAGGGTCCGGGGTGAGCCTCAGGTCACCCCCACCAAGGCACCAGGAAAGTTTTGCGAGGGAGTTTGCCTTTGAGCAGCGGTTAGAAACGGCTTGCACTGTAGGCTTTAACCAGCAGTTCCCAAAAGTGCACAGCGTGGTAACGTACTACGAAAAAAACGGGCTCTGTAGTCGGTGTAGTGCTAAGAAACAGAGCGGCTGCAGGCCTCATCAGGGCCTTTATGGTGGTAATATGCACTGTTGAGACCCCAGAGGGTGCTCTACTAGGCATGTTCCCCAAACGCCAACCTCTCAGAGGGCTCCTTTTGTGCCAGAAGCCCCTGGACCTGGTTGGGTGGGACCCACATTCGGGAATGCTGACTTAGCCTTCGGGAGACATGAGAGGAAGCCTGTTCCGGGAAGACGGAACAGTGACAGCAAAGGCAGCAGAGTGGAGACAAGTTGGAAATAGCAGATGGCCCTCACTCCGGCTCAGGAGAGGGGAAGGGGGGCAGAGGGAGCTGCCTACGGGGGGCGGGAGGAGGCTGACTGTACAGTCCCCAACGGCAGGTGCCTGGTGGAAAATGGACCGCCTCTTTGGGCTTCAGAGAGGGGTCCCACAGGTGGCCCCCAAGGAGCTTCGCAGACTCCTTCACATCCCCCGCCCCCCAGGGGGACACTGTCCGGGCGGGGATGCTGGTGGGAGGCTGAGAGCAGCCAGAGGGACAAATGGCGCCGCCTGAGCCTGGCCCCAGCTCACGCCCCAGGGAGGTCCCCTTGCTCTGTGTCGGGGTGACTCCTGTGATGCCCTTGGCCCTCTGCCATCCACACACTCCCTAGGCTCAGGGGCCGGGGGCCGCCTGGCCATCTGCCTTTCTGGAGGATCTGTGTTTGGCCGGTGGTGCGGACCTGCTGGTGGGCTGAGCGGTATTTAGTAACCAGCTCCCTCGTGGGGGAAGAGCCTGACGGGAGAGTTTGCACCTCCTCGTTGGCTCACGGCATGCTCCCAGGAAGAGGTCACTGAGGGGGGCTGCGGGGGCACGCGTCACCTCTGCTTGCCCCTGCAGATGCAAGGTGGGTAACAGCCCGAAGAAGAAACTGTCGAACGTCATTAAATAACCGGCCAGTGGTGTGATTTAAATACTTGTCACTTATAAAAGGTCACTTCTGGGCACCATGATCTCACAGTTCATGAGTTCAAGCCCCACATCGGGCCGTGTGTCGACAGCACAGAGCCTGCTTGGGATTCTCTCTCTCGCTCGTTCTCTGCCTCTCCCCCACTCACATTTGTTCGCTCGCTCAAAATAGATAAACTTTTTAAATAGGTAAATAATAAAATGTGACTTATGTTTATAAAATGACTTTAACAACCGATTCACAAAATTCTTGCCAGTTTGACAGCCGGCTTTTTCGCCAGCCAGTACAAGCCTCCTGCACCCTTTCACCGGAGGGTTCGCACAGTGATGAAAAACCCTGTTTTCTTTAGGCAGACGAGGGAGCAGGAGACGCCCCCTGACTTCTTTTACTTCTCTGACTACGAGAGGCACAACGCAGAGATCGCTGCCTTCCACCTGGACAGGTGAGCCGTCCCGCCTGCACCCCGGGCCTGAGCACCGTGCGGGTGGGCCCGAATAGCTCTCCCAACACCCTCCCGAGGTGTTGGGAAATCCTATAAGTAGCCCCATTGTACAGATGGGAAAACCGAGGCATGTAAGTCTCTGCCGCACAGAGCTGGAGTCTAGCCTGCAGATGTTACGACACCCTGCGGTAGGCCCCACACCACGAACGGTGCCAGACAGGAGACCCTCGGGAGCAGTTGGTGATCAGAGTGTGGACGTGGCCCGTTGGGAATAACAAAGGAAGAGCGGAAAGGGCTGTGAGTGCTGGGAACTTTAACCCAGAGTGTTTCAGGGTGGAACCTCTGGGGCCACGGTGACACCAAGGGACATGAGCCTCCTCCCCCATCGCCCGTCTTCTGGGCTGGCTCTACCGGGCAGAACGTGAATTCCTCCCTGGGCTCCACGTGGCCCCTTGCTGCAGGCGAGGTGGGCAGTGGTGTCGAGGGCCGTGGGGGGGGAGGGGGCCTCTCAGCAGCCACCCTGCTGGCCCAGAGATCCCTGCCCCGCAGGGACAGTCACGGGGCTGGGGCTGGAGTCAGTTCCAAGAGTCTAGGGGGAGGAGCCTTCCCGACCACCCCGCAGGGTCCTGACCTCCGGCTCGGGGTGTGTCCTAGGCTGCAGCTTCCAGGTCACCCAGGCTGGTTAGAATGCAGATTCCCGGTCTCCACCCCAGACCCTCTCTCTACACCACACGATTCGTGTGCACACTCAAGTTTGCAAACCCTACTTTGCTTTGTTTTTCAAAGATCAAAAATCTTGTTTGGGGGCCACAGAAACCCCAAGTCAAATTTTCAACAATGTCAACTATTGTGCAGCCTAAACCCAGAAAAAGGCCTTTCTGTGAAAGGAACAGTTGCCACGAAGCCGATGAGGGTTCCTCATTCGGAAAGGTGAGGCCTGTTGATGACGCAGGACAGCTCACGCAGCGGGCGGAGCGCGGGCGGCACGCAAGATGCCCACATTCCCCACAGGCCGCTGCAGGCCCATCGGCGTCCCGTTTGAGTGAGCGAGTGCAGCGCAGTTAGAGGGCGTCCCATTAAAAGCAGCTAATTTAACGTTGTTCCGACCTGAGCCCAGAGGGCCCAGGCACTGGCAGGCCGGTGCTGGGAAGCAGAACACCACCCACCGTGGTCCTCATGGGGCCCATTTTCATTGGTGGCCGACGGCACCAGTCAGAGCTGTGGGCCCCGCGTTGGGCCTAGCGGGACTCGGAGACGGGAGCGTTCACTCCGCACCAGCTTAGCGAGGGCCGGGGCACGGAGGTGAAGTCCCTTCCCCTGTCACTTTCCCGCCAGGATCCTGGACTTCCGCCGGGTCCCTCCGGTGGCCGGCAGGATGGTCAACATGACCAAGGAAATCCGGGACGTCACGAGAGACAAGAAGCTGTGGAGAACCTTCTTCATCTCTCCAGGTAACCTGCACTCGGGGAGGCCCCTTTCCTGGCTCACTGCACACAGAACAGCGAGCTTAGTTACCTTTACGAAGAAGAAGAAAGAAACTTATAGTTTCTTCTTGCGTAATGCAGCCCACCGCCTTCACGGGACCACCCAAGGGCTGCCCCTTCCACTTCGGGGTGGATCTACATCACAGTGTCAAAAGCCTGCCAGAAATGGCCAAGTCATCGTCATGGAATTGATCCCCTGGGCTGGGCACAGAGGTTTTTTCCTACCATTTGTTTTAAAGGAAAATTAGGGCATTTTTGAAAATTCTCAGCCTCCCCAGAGAGTCTCCTCCAATGGTCTGGCTGGAGGAGACCTCTGTTCCCTAACTTCCTCCCGGATTTAGGCACCACCACCCTGCCCCCACCCCCCGCAGCAAGACCCTCACACAGCAACAAGGACTCCTCTGCCTCCCTCCCCCGGCTCAGCAGGGAGAGCGAGTAGAGTGGCGGCCTCTCCTGGCGCCCTCGAGGGCCAGCACAAGGGCCTGCCACAGAGCGGTGCTAATCATCATTCTCAGACGCACACAAGCTCCTGCCCTACCGAATCACCTGCCCCAGGAGCCTTTCGATGTGGCATTCAGGGCTCTGCGATCTGTCCGTCCGTCCCTGTGAGCACTTCCTTTGGGCCAGGCCCCGTGCTGAGCACCCCCTGCTTGCTGGGCCTGAGGGTGGGGACACCTTCTACCTCGTATTCGGTTCTGGAAGGTCCCGGCGATGGCAGAGAAGTGGAGTGCGGTGATAAGTGGGACCCACCCCGAGACAGATACCCTCCTGGTGGTGTGGGTCCATCTGTCAGTTCGTGCACATAAAACCCACGTAGAGGTTATGTGCCCCTACCCCCTGTGCTGGCAGCGTCTCACCACCCGACCAGAAACCAAAGGGGAGGGGGCTTGGAGGGCTTCTCATCAGCCTTGTCTAAGCCTGCCCAAGGCTGCAGGCTGCTTGGACGCCCCTGGTGACGGGGAGCCCGTCGGCTCAGAGGTAATTCAGCTCCTGTCTGCACAGCCTGAGTTGCTGGAAAGGACCTTCTTTTCCAAGGGTGGACACCTGCCTCTCCAACCGTGGGTTCTAGTGCTTTCCCCTGGAATCCCCACCCACCTACCCCCGAGACAGCAAGCTCCTCCTCCACCTCAGCCTGTCAGGGACTCTGGGATCTCTCA